TTTTTTTTTTTTTTTTTTTTTTGTCCCTCTTAAACCATATTCGGAGGTTGAGAATAAGAAGGAAACTAAAAATGGTGTTTCTTCTTCTCTCCTTTATTCCAAAAATATAATAATTGGGATAAGAATTGGTTTGTTGAGTACCCAGCAGATTGATAGGGGGATTTGGTACCTTGGGTGCAGTTCCTTGCCGCCACAGATTCATGAGAACTCTTTCTTCTCCTCTCATTGTGCCCTGCCAGTCTCCTCCTACAGCTCCTCTTTGAGTCATCAAACTCTGAAATCACATGGAACCTACACAACAACCCAATTCTTGTTTTTTATTTTTCTTTTCATTTTCCTATTATCTTCTACACATAATTTAATCTCAAAGTTAGTGTCTTTTGAAATGCTCCACCTGCTACACTGCTGACAGAACCTCTGCTCTAAGCCTACAACCACAACTTTTGGAGCCTTCGAGTGCATCTCGCACACTCTATGCCTACGGTGGTAGTCCTTCGCGTTCACCAGCGCCACATGGCATCCCTCCACTTGGCACCGGGGTACGGTCGTCGGAACTGGGCCATAAGGCCCTCCATCTCCACCGTATAAACCCTTCCCTCTCTTCCCCACAGTGGCGAAGCCTCCCACGACGGACGGCGCAGTGGCGTCCTCGAAGTAGTGCCTCTTGCCGAGCTTCAAACACATGAGATGGGGGTCCGGGTGGAAATGGGCGCGCTGGTGATCGGCGGCGTAGAGAAACTGGTGGTGGCGAGCGTCAGCGTCATGTGGGTGGAGCCAGAGTGCGTGAGCGGACATGGGTTGGGATCGGGTGGTGTCGGGGCAGAGAGAGTTGGCAGTGGCCCAATCCAAGTCGAAGCGGGAGGAATTGAAGTCCCAGATGTTATTGGGGCAAGAAAGATTAGTGGCGTTGGGAGTTTGGTCTCTGGTGGGATTGGAGTGTCCCATCAAGTTGGCGCAGATCTCCATCTCCATTTTAGGAGTGGGTGCAGAAGTGGAAGGGGTAGAGGAGGAAAGGAGGAAAGGATTGGTGGGTTGGTGAGAGAAGGAAGAGAGGGAGATGGGGTTGGGGGAATTTATACCAAAAGAGGGAAGGAAGAGGTTGATGTCGGGAAAAACAGAGTCAGAGAGAGAGAAAGAGTGAAGCAGTGAAGAGTCTTCTCTGATATAATTGTAAAAGGCCAATGGGGGTTAAAGTGAGTGGAAGAAAGGCTGCAGAATTGCAGTCTCTTCTGAGTAGTAGGGGGGAGAGGAGAGGAGGAAAGCAGTAAGAAATGATACAAATTCATCCCTTATTTAAATTAATTGGAGTGGAAAAAACAAATTCATCCCTTATTTAAATTAATTGGAGTGGAAAAAACAGAAACACAGAGAAAAGAGAAGGAAATAAGTTGATTCAGTGCGAGGTGAGAGAATAAAGAGCGTGAGTGGAGAGAGAAAGGAAGGGAAAGGGGGTAGGCCATACACGTGTTAAATGTGGGGTCCACCTCAAGATCTTCCCAAAAACAGCAAAGATTGACCCACAGTGGCTGATTGCGACCCCTCCTCACCATTCTCTTTGAAGCCCCCTCTCCCCGATTAATAATAATAAAAAAATGGATGGAGGATGGGGTCCAAGGAAGAGACAGGGAGTCTGATAGGATTCTGCCACGTGTACGGCGGGGAAAGCAGCGAAGACAAATATATCTCGGGAGTACACATGTCCAAACATCTCTCCAATCCGATTTGCATAACGAAAATAAAAAAAGAAAAAAAAAAAATGTAAAAGTTGTTTGTGTAATTTTTGTTTTGGGAAGGCAGTTAAGTGGGTGTTTGACACGTGTACTTATTATTTCTTTATTATTACTATTATTATTGTTATGTTTGGGATAAAAAGGAAAGAAAAAAACTGCAAATGTACTCGAAAACACAGATTGGAGCATGATGAGATTATTAGATTGTTTCTTTTAATGAAACATTTGGAATTCCAAAACCCTGCTCTAATCCATCAACAACGAAGAAATAAACATCTGGTGGGACCCACTGGTGTGTTTTTTTTTTTTATAATTATTTTGTAGTAAAACAGGAAAAATTAGGAAAAGAGAAGGGAAAAGAGAAGGGAAAAGAGAAGGGAAAAGAGAAGGGAAAAGAGAAGGGAAAAGAGAAGGGAAAAGAGAAGGGAAAAGAGAAGGGAAAAGAGAAGGGAAAAGAGGTTCCATCAAGCTGAGTCAAGATGGGGCCTTGGTCTGCGATGGGTGAAGTCATAAAAAAGAAAGGAAGGAGATGGGCCCTGATTCTCTGCCAATCTATTTACTCTATTCTCTCTCTCTCTTCTCAATTATTTGCTTCTCTCTCTTCTCCATTTATTTCCTCTCCAATCATACCAGTCTTCATAAAGGACTCTTTACCATTATAAGGGGATATATAAGGGGTTGAGTGAAGCAAGTATTCTGATTATATTTACAACTTGTTTTTTACCCTAATCCATAAACAACCAGGAAAGGAATGATCACTCTCCAAACAAAGTCTGATCACTACGACCCCTTCTTATCCACAAGCTTTTATTTCACTTCATTGCTCCTGCTTATTTTTATTCATTTCCCTTTATTCATTTCCCTTTATTCATTTCCCTCTATTCATTTCCCTGGTTATGGAGTGACATTCACTTTTGTGTATCCAATATGTATTTTTAATAATTTGTCCTCAAATTATTATTTTGAAGGATTTTCCAGGTATTCATCATTTTCAACCCTCTCAAATGGACTCGAGGTGCGACAGCCCAAATTAGTATGTAATATGGGTCGAATACAGCGGCCCACTAAAATGTTTCATTTTTCCCTAAAACACCCCTATCGACACGTTGCATGGACGTTTTCCAAAAACGGCCTGGCTGCTGACGTAGGGATTTCGTAACACGTTTTCGAAATGGGCCCATCGTGTGATTCCGACCAACACTGGATGCGGCGGAGACACCGGCGGCTGGTTTCAAGTCGGAGACATGTTATAACCGTAAACCAACAGAGTTGCAGTCACATGCATATTAGAAATTTAGTGCCATAAACATGATTTCAAATTAGAAATTACTATTTAAGGTTTACAAGTTTATTTTAAGAGCAAGTTAATGGATTCAACACATGACATCCTTGAGAAGCTTGTAGCGGCGTGGAGCAGGGCGAGGCGAGGGCACTCCAGTGGCAGAGCTTTTTGTTTCAGTAATTTGATCAGTCATTTTGTGAGGCTTTTGGGATGTGGCCCCATTGTTCGCAGCTGCAGGGCTAGGGCGGCGCGTTGTGTGTTCGGTTCGGCACCAATCGCAGAGTCGAGTTATTGGGTCGGCCGATTCCCCGCAGTAGAAGTTACTGCAATAACTGAACTACCAAAATTGAAGTTGATACGAAAAGGGCGAGAAAGAAAAGAAGAGCGTGAGTGTCCTTACGAGTGCTGGAAGCGGTTGGAGCAATTGGCGCAGCGGAAGAGCTTGGCTGGAAAACCGACGTCGCCACACAGGCAACAGAGGGGGCGATTCAAATCCATGGCTTGGGGGTTACAGGGGAATTGTATGCATATATATATATGGGAATGGAGTGGGCGTGTGAACCTCTCATTTTCTTTGACAGCCTCAGCTGCTTCACTCCCTTTTTATTTATTGTTTTTTCTTCAATTCCAGGTGTATATATAAATATATTATGTAACAACGTACACGCGGAATGCCTTATTTCTGTACTCTCCAGATTCTCTCCTTCCTTTGGATTTAATAAGCACCGAACTACATTCCGCTCACACCCTTATATTTCGACAACTCTGTCAATGTCCTCATGCTTTGTCTATCGTCACATATGCGTTGATTGAATTCATGTCACCTATATTTTTGTGGCATAATTTAATTTAAATTTTTGTTTTTTTTAATTACATTTATTACAAAAAAAAAAAAAAAATTTATTCAAAATTATTCATCGTTTTGTCACGTAAATAAAACTGTGGTTCAAACATATTTATGTACCAAAACATAATACTAGGTGTCTGATTCATTTAGTTTGACCTTAATATGTCATCGCATTCCATAAAATAGGAATGTCGGGTTAAATTTATTTAAAAATATTAGATTTTTTTATTTTTATAAGTAAAAGTTTTATTTTTATTTTTAAACGGATTAAAATTATTATTATTTTTTATATTCAATCTCAGACTAAAATAAATAAAAATAAAAAATAAAAGGAAAGTACAGGACCGGTATTTATTTATTTATTATTTTTGGATGAGACATGGTTTGGACGATGAAGGCCCATTAGACCGGACCAGACCAGAGTGTTGAGTTCCAGCTCCAGTTGAGTAAGAGAATATAAATAGAATTGTGCGCCATAAATTTGTTCTCTCGCTCACCATCATCTCGCCTTTTTTCTCTCTCCAAACCTCTCTGTTCCTGTTCCCGCAATCTCTCTGTGAACCGCTTCTTCAACCTTCCTTTCATTCTTCTTCTTCCTTGCACTCACTCAGCCTGCCGAGCCTCAGCTTCTCTGGTGGAAAACCCTAGCTTCCCGATTTGGGTAGCCATGATGTTTTCGGCTACGACGTCGTCTCAGATTCGCTTCCTCCTCCACAGCTTGACTGAATCTAATGCTGAATCCATTCTCAACGAGCTCTGCGAGGTATCATCTGGCCTTTTACATCGCCTCCCCTTCCTTGCCTTTTCCGGTCATACTTGCCAACTGTCATTTGAGCTCTGCTCTGCTCATAAAATTACTTCATTTCGTGTGATGCGATTCGTGGCCTAGATTTAGATTTATATTTCCCACTTGTTTCACGCATTTCCTTTTTAATCAATTCTCCATTTCCACTACGTTTCTCATTTTGATCTCCAGGCATTCTTGTAAAACAGTTTAAGGTGTTTACTTGAAAAGCTTCTATATATATGTGCCTCTGTTATTTGTGTCGTTCTGTCTGTCTTTTTTCTTCGTGAAAGTTATGTTTACAACCCCGAAATAGAAGAATTAGGAAACAGAGTTCTATTAGATCCCCTTTCCAAATAGCAGCACGTGAAGTAATCGCCTTTGCGATTAAGCATTACACTTAACCATTGCGCTGATCTTTTACATCGAGATATATTTTAAACATTTGACTGAATTAATGTCTTAAATGTGCTTCAGTTCATTGACTGTGGAGTTGAAGGAAGCTTCATACTGCTCAGAACTTGTTTGGATCATTTCACTAGTCATGGGACAGATTTGGACAACCCGCTGTTGCGACTAGTTGTTTCTTCTGTTTTCAAGCATCTCTTGGACAGACCCAATTTTAGTACAATATTTTGCGAGTCCCTTAAAACTAGAGATATCAACCAAGTTATTCTCGAGAACATCTCGAATCTGTTAAACTTGTCAATGTGTGAAAGAATTGGAGTTGGTCTCGCTGTTTCAGATTCTGAAAATCTCGATACAAGGACTTGTGGTAAGTTCTAGAAGTTACCATTAATTATTGACGATTTCTGGTCGTTAATTTGCTATCAACTACTTCTATTTTATGACAGAGCAAGATCTATACAGGGAACTTCTCTAATCTTCATGCCTGCCATCTTTCCTTTAATTATTTATTTTTTTATTAATATGGAGCTTGTAGCTATGTTTTGATAAATATTAACATAGTGCCCAGCTTGATTTTGCTTTGACAACTTACAAGTTAACAATTTGAGTTTACCTCATCAACGGAAATAGAATCGTGTAGCTAGTTAGAAAGTATTATGTTTGTTTTTCTTGCGGGGACTTCATAGGTTGTGCGTTTTTATTTATTTTATTTTTTTCAGGAAATAACTTCTGCATTACTCAGATTGAGGAACTTTGTGCTAATGCTGTATCTATGGATTCCACTCAGCAAATTCAGGATATTATCATGTTCCTCCAACGGTCTGAAGGGCTCTCAAAGCATTTAGATTCCTTCATGCAAATGCTATCTTTGGTGCAGTTAAAAGATGTTACAGAGTTTGTTTTGTCACCGCTGCTTTCAGATGAATTGCGAGAGGAGAAAATTTTAAGGTGCCGAAGAATATCTCTTAAATATAATTTTCACTATTTATGTATGAGACCTTGGCTTGTCGGTTTCTGGTGAATTTTGGTGGGACCTGTGCTTTTTGTAATATTAGTATTTACTTAACAACTTTTTCTATCCATTGCAGGAATGTAAATCTGTCACATGAGTCCCGCGATAATGATTTTGATTCCATCTTAGCCGAAATGGAGAAGGAAATGAGCATGGGAGATATTATGAAGGAACTGGGTTATGGATGCACAGTCAATGCTACACAATGCAAAGAGATCGTGTCCCTCTTCTTGCCGCTGACAGAGATTACTATCTCTAAGATACTTGGCATGATAGCTCGCAATCACACTGGTCTTGAGGACAGTCGAAATTTATATACAACTTTTAGTCTAGCATTGGGTTGCAGCGCCTTGTCTGATCTTCCATCCTTGAACTCATGGGATGTGGATGTTCTCATAGACACAGTGAAGCAACTTGTGAGCCTTTTTTTCTTTATCTGCATGTCCTATGCACACAAATTTCTATCTTCCTTTATTTTTCTTACCATGCTTTCTTGATTCAGGCACCTAGCATTGACTGGATAAGAGTAATGGAAAATCTGGATCACGAGGGTTTTTACATTCCTAATGAGGAAGCATTCACATTTTTCATGTCTGTATATAGACGTGCATGCCAGGTATCGTTTGCTTTGTTTGGGATGTTCTGAGATGAAATAATTCATCCCTTGTTAATCCAATCTTTGGTTGAGATTGCAGGACACGTTTCCTCTTCATACTATTTGTGGTTCGGTTTGGAAGAATATGGAGGGTCAGATTTCCTTCCTTAAACATGCTGTGTCGGCACCACCTGAAATATTTACATTTGCTCACTCTGGGAGACAGCTGGTATGGCCAATGTTTGGGACACTTCATCGACTTCCCTATTTTGCTTGCTTACATCAGCGTACTTCAATGGCGGTGTAACTTTTATTGTTGGAACTAATCATTCTCCTCCCTCTTATGGCAATACATATTCCTAATATTTCACATTGGATGAGACATTTTTGTAGGCTTATATTGATGGACTGCATGGCCATAAGCTTCAGCTTGGACATACAAATCAAGCATGGATGTGTCTTGATCTTTTGGATATACTGTGTGAACTTGCTGAGAGAGGTCATGCTAGATCTGTGCAATCAATGCTGGAGTTTCCTCTTAAAAACTGGCCTGAGCTATTGCTACTTGGGATGGCACATACTAACGTACATTTTTTCTTGTCTCCTTTGCCCTGAGGGGTTTATTTTTTATTTTTATAAATAAATTTATTTGTTACATTTGTCCTCTCTGTGTATCTCACATATGCATATCCTGATCTGGTTGTAAATTTTTACATATTTTCTTGCAGACCGCATACAATCTTCTCCAGTTCGAAGTTTCTTTTTCAGTCTTCCCATTGATGTTAAGAAATCCTCTTGGTAGTGATTTAATCTTTCAGCTATGGCATGTTAACCTTAATCTGGTGTTACGGGGATTTGTGGATGCTCAAAACAGTGATCCAGATTGCATGGTTAGGATAGTTGAAATCTGCCAAGAATTGAAGGTAGGCTAATACTAACTTCTCTCTCTCCCCTCTCTCTATTTATCTATCTTTGCGTGGCAGAGATGATATGAACCATATTCGTGGTGTACCGACTATCGTTTCTAACTGTTTATGTTATTTTCAAATCTGAAATTTCTTTTTGTCCACCATATCATTTTGCAGATACTTTTGTCAGTACTAGATACGATTCCTCCTTCCTGCAGTATAAGATTAGCTGCTATTGCTTCACGACAGGAATGTTTAGACCTTGAGAAGTGGTTGAGTAACAGTTTGAAAACATACAAAGATGTATTTTTTGAGGTAGTATTTTTCAGTTGGTTGCCTGACCTTTAGAACTGTGTTCTTGATATTAAAACGTTTGTCATTTGAAGAATATTTGTGTGCTGACATCAGGCTTTCAGCTTTGATTATAAAGTGAAAACTTATGAGATTAATGTTGCAGGAATGCCTCAAGTTCTTAAAAGGGATTCATTATGGGGGATCTCAAGATTTTACAACCAAACCTTTTTATCCTTCCAATGCGATTTCAAATATTTATCTCGACACTGCTTCTACTTTCTTGAAGGTACTATGGAAAAACTCCAGTACTCTCACCACCAAATTCTTTCTTCTATGCTGGGGTTTGAATGTAATGTTGTACATATGTAAAATGGAATAAGTATGACTAACGTAGTTGTTAATGTCAGGTTCTAAGATCTAATGTAGGTACTACTGCTTCTGCTAAACTATTTGAGGAAATGGAGAAGTTGCATGATGCCGTTCTGGAGTCGAACCCAAAGCTGCAAAACGGTGATGCTCCAGATGCGCCTGGAGCAGAAGGAGGATATACAGATGACATTGAGGCCGAAGCTAATTCCTACTTCCAACAAATGTTTTCCGGTCAGTTGACCATTGAAGCGATGGTTCAAATGCTTTCTCGGTACAAGGAATCTTCAGTTAAAAGGTGCTGTATTTTAGTTATCTGTTGGGCATGATTGTCTGGTTTTTAAGGACGTTTATTTTACTGTGAAATGTGTTTATGACCAATTTCCATAATTTCTCATGTACTATGATATTGGATGAATCCACACTGTAAGAGTCAACTACAGTATATTTTGGAACTCTTTCGTTTTCAGTCCTGCAAGAAGTAATTTTCATGTTTTCACCATCAGCAATCAAGTGCATGCAACTTTTTCCCATTTCAATCTTCTGTATTAATGAATCTTTCACGTTCTTTACCCCAAAATAAATTAGCTTGATTAGAATGGGCAGCTCATTACATGCTTGCAGGGAACAATCAATTTTCGAATGCATGATTGCAAATCTGTTTGAGGAGTATAGATTCTTCCCGAAATATCCTGAAAGACAGCTGAAAATTGCGGCAGTTCTCTTTGGTGAGTTTCTTGTTGATATTTTGAGGGTTTTATTTTGTAACTTTTAAAAAAATTATATATATTTTAGTTTTATAGATTTATTTCATGTGTCTTTTTGTATCCCAAATTGTTCATTTTTTTTCATTGCTTTTCAGGCTCTGTTATTAAGCATCAGCTTGTAACTCACCTTACTCTTGGGATTGCATTGCGTGGTGTCCTTGATGCACTTCGTAAACCTGCAGATTCAAAAGTTTGTGTTGCATGTTCGAGAGTTTGGTTTCATTTGTGATTATTATGTTATTTGTGGTTAACATTTTTTGTTGGGCAGATGTTTGTGTTTGGTACCAAGGCTGTAGAGCAGTTTGTGGATCGTTTGATTGAGTGGCCGCAGTACTGCAATCATATTCTGCAAATATCACATTTACGAAGCACACATGTGGAACTTGTTGCTTTCATTGAACAGGCTCTTCTGAGGCTATCTGCAGGCCATTCTGATTCTGATGCTACTGCAGGAAATGTGGAGGTGGCAACTTATCTTTTAGTTACATTTTTTGTTACCATGTCCAGATTATATCTTTGACTTTTTAATTTAGTGGTATATCATGATATGCACAAGAAATGTTCACGTATGCCACAAATGAAAGGTTTTTCTGAATGGAAACTAGGAACCTTTTCATTATTGAAACCATAAGGTTCAGTGAAGTGGCAGCCCCCTGAACCAGGGAGCATAGAAATAATTATTCCAATTGGTGTGGCTGAAAAAATAGTAGCTACACAACAAAGTTTTGAGAGGGTGCTCAAATTGGAAGTTAAACTACGTAACTAGCTATAAATCTGTCAAAATTTGCCTGGGCCGGATGGCTTCACTATGGCATTCTATTTTTTAATTGGGTGAAAGTGAAGGACTTGTGGAAAGTTTTATGTAAGTTCCATGAGAGAGGGATTATCGACTCTGTAGAGTGTGAGGCTTGCGTTTGTTTGATTCCAAAATGGGAATGTTTTAAGGTTAAAGACTTTGGGCCTACAAGTCTTATTAGTAGCTTGTATAAGATCAACACAATGCTAACCCTAGAAAGTGCTCCCCATTATTAAATCAAATGCCGGAGGTTCTTTTCTTGAGGGTAGGCAAAGTTTAAATCGAATGAAGCCATTGAGGATTATACAATGGGAAGAAGGAAAGGGTGATGCTCAAGATTGATTTTGAGAAAACTTGCGACCATGTGGATTGGGCTTTCGTAGTAAGGTCTTGTGGTGTAAGGGGTAGAGAGAGGCTATGGTTCTATGATCAAGGAGGTGCTCTTGAGTTCTCCCTTGCGCGGGAAGTGTAGAATTATGTTTGGATGCTTCCTTGTGGGAATCCGTCCATTGAGCTTTTTGTAATGTCCAATTTTGTTTTATTCATTTGAATTAGTATCATGGGGTTAGTTGTGGGATTCTTTTTGTGGCTTGTTTTTTGTATGTTCTTGAAAAATATTTTTCTTCAATAAAGGCTTAGTTTATTGAAAGAAAAATATTTTTGAAGAGGGAAAAGGAGCGTTGGGTCTTTAATGTGTCGTGTTGCTATAGAGAAAGAGATAACTTTTTGGTGGCAAATATCTGTTAGATTATTTATTATAACAACTTTCTTCAACAATGCAGCTACAACAAAAACATGAAACTGCCATGGATGATCGACTTAAAGTCATTGGATCATCAGTCAATGATGTAAAACAATTTTTATCTTCTGTGGGGCAAACTTCAATTCAACCCGTAGGTGATGCTCCTACAAATCAAAAGGTAAACTCATTATTCTTTCTCCTAGTTTTGTCGTCCATTTGCATTAGAATCTTATGCTATGTACCTTTGTTCATCCTAATTATTAACAATTAAATATCCCTTTCTATCTCTCTGTAAGTTGCTACAATTGTGGGTGCAGAATACAATCAGTACTCCAGCTGTGTTGACTTCTGCCTCTGGTTTTGTCCGTCCTTCACGGGGGGCTGCTTCTACCAGTTAGTTCTTCGACATTAGGCATTGAAAATTTTGTTGCTTGTTTGGAATGAACGTAATGGTTATGTTTTATCCTTTGACAGGGTTTGGTTCAGCTTTGAATATTGAAACACTTGTTGCTGCGGCTGAGAAAAGAGAAACTCCTCTAGAGGTACTCCATTCATTGTGCTATCTTTTGAACCTATTTTATCAAGTCAGAGAGTCTTGATGAATGTGAATGTGGTAGGAGATTCTTATTTGTCACATTATTGATATAATAACCATGACTTTTACGTATAATTTAAGAAAATTTCATTCCAATCTGCACTTAGCTGAAGATATATACGTATACGTTCCAATGTAAAAGATTATGCCTATCACCCTTGGAAATAAAGGAAAATTTCCAATATTGAAGCTTGTGTTGTAACTTCTCCATCACCCGTTACCAAAACCGAGTACTGGAAGGGTTGCCTCCCAAAAGACCAAGGTAAACAGCTGGCTAACGACCCACTTTTAGACCCAAAATTTTGAACCAGTTGTTCTAAATCCTCTTAAGGAGCTGAATGCCTAGGAATTCTCTTCTGTATCACCTTTCCTGCCTCATTGGCCTTAGCCTCCTTCCGTCATCAATTTTGTTAGAGTTTCTTCATTTGTTGGTTACTAATGATTTTTTTTAAGCAAGACAGACTTTTCTGACACTTCTAGAGGTTCTAAATTCATCTCTCATCAAGGGGGGTTCTTTGTATGTTCAGTTCGGTCCCCCATGAATGGAAGAAAGTTTTTGTGTTTTGTTGGTCTGAATAAGAAAGGATAACTTGTGTTCTGGGAGATGGTTAGAGATTTCTTATTGAAATATGAGATTGATGAATCATCGTTGAAGGAGTCCTCCAAGATGCTGGTGGCAGGAGATAATCCTTGCTTGAATGTTGGTTGGAAGATTCCCAACAAATGATATGCCGAGGCTGTGGACATTCAGAGTGTAATTTTATCTATACGTTTCTTTCTTCCACATTTTCTAGTTTAGGACTTCTCTTTGTAGCATTGAAGTGGGATTATATATTCCTTTATATTGTATTTTTATTTAATTGCTCCCTAGTGGGTTTTATTTCTTTTTATGGACTCTGAATTTATGTCTGCACATCTAACCTTCTCATAAGTCTCATTATGTGTGCAGGCTCCTGCATCGGATGTACAGGATAAGATTTCATTTATGATTAATAATATTTCACTTGCTAATCTTGAAGCCAAAGCAAAAGAATTTTCTGAGATTTTGAAGGAGCAGTTTTTTCCCTGGTTTGCTCAGTATATGGTCATGAAGAGGTTCGAAGTTGCTTTGAATTCTTGTATGTATTTTCTGCACCGAACTATCTGCAATGTGTAAACGAATTTATTGGATGATATCAATGAGCTGAAAACTAAAAGGCATGTTCTGTAGTTTTATTAGGGGGGTGGAACTGTTGGGACGTTCTAGAAAAATCCCCCTAGAGAAAATGTTGGTTTTTAAATGAGCTATATTATTAACATCCGACAACATATTGCTTTACAGGGCTAGCATTGAGCCAAATTTCCATGACTTGTATTTGAAGTTTCTGGACCGAGTTAATTCAAAAGCTTTGAGTAAAGAGATTGTTCAGGCTACTTACGAGAACTGCAAGGTCTTTTTTTTCTTCTTGGATGTGTGGTGCAATCAGTGCCTGGCATGGTAGTGAACTTTTGTTTTTTTTCCTCTTCTCTCCAGGTTCTGTTAGGATCAGAGCTTATAAAATCAAGCTCAGAAGAACGTTCACTGCTGAAGAATTTGGGAAGCTGGCTTGGGAAACTAACAATTGGCAGGAATCAAGTATTGCGAGCTCGTGAAATAGATCCAAAATCTTTGATAATTGAGGTAATATAGCGTTTGCTTTTGTCAGTTTTGATTCATTCCACGGAGGGACTTTGGGGACTTCCTCCTCTTCACATCATTTTTGTTTTCTTGATAACCATACCATTTAACGTTTGTTTCTGTTTTACTATTATTATTTTCTTCTTTGCACTCACTTCTCCATTTTGGCAGGCATATGAAAAAGGGTTAATGATTGCTGTAATACCATTTACTTCTAAGGTATGATTGTACTGTATGGGGAATATTTTTGGTACCTTTGTTTGAGTATCCTGATCTTACCTTTATATTATTATGGCTGTAGATTCTTGAACCATGTCAAAGTAGTTTAGCATACCAACCCCCAAACCCTTGGACCATGGGCATTCTTGGACTACTGGCAGAGATTTATTCAATGCCTAACTTGAAAATGAACCTGAAGTTTGACATTGAGGTATGTATGCACACTTCAAGACTGTAAAGGCATTGGCACTATGGATGCAGTTAGCTGTAAATTTTCAACGGAAATAATACTTTTGTTTTGGATGAGCGAATACCATTGATTAAATGAAATATGTACAGTCAAGGGAGCACTAGGGAGGATTCAAGAATTTCTTCCTACCACTGAATTTAATTAGTCTTGCATTGATTTTTTACAGGTTCTGTTTAAGAATCTTAGTGTGGATATGAAAGAAATAACGCCAACTTCTCTTCTTAAAGACCGGAAGAGAGAAGTTGAAGGTAATCCTGATTTTTCTAATAAGGACGTTGGAGCATCTCAGACGCAGATGGTAGCCGAAGCAAAGCCCAGCATAATGTCTTCTTTAAATCAAGTGGAGCTTCCACTGGAGGTTGCAACCCCATCGAATTCTGGAAATCACACTCACCTGTTATCGCAGGTTTGTTAAGCTCTTTCCTTCTTGTAGGTGATTAACTCATTCACTAACGAAAGGAAGGCTATGGCAGCCCTGAGGCTTTTCCTATCAATTTCGAGGTGTAAGCCTCAAATTTAATTAAAAGCATTTTACAAATCCTAAATTAGTTCCTCTCAAATTCCTGCGTTCTTCTCATAAGTTCCTCTCTCTCTCTCACAGTAATACCAAACTATTACTCTCTCCATAAGGGGTATTGTGACAGTTTCGAGTCTTGTTGGAGAAACACCACATTAAACTGAAGTCCCTGTGGAACCTTGTTTACTTCCACAAGTATTGTCTCATAGGGAAAAAAAAAACGGTCGTGGAAGTTTTTATTTTCTATAGTTTTTTCATCCATATAGCTTTGTAACATTTTTCTGGTAATAGACCTGGAGCACTAGTTAGGTAGCTGGAATGAAATAGCCAAAGTAGATGCTTGAACCATGCAATCCTCAGACTAGACAATTTCGCTGTTCTATTTTATTGCAATTGCTATTGCTGTTTTCTTATCTTCTAATTTTTTTTTGGTTGTAGTACGTTCCCCCACTTCATCTTTCTTCTGGCACATTAATGGAAGACGAAAAGCTTGCTGCGCTGGGCTTGTCTGATCAGCTTCCTACTGCCCCTGGACTCTTACAAGCTACAACGTCGCCATCACCATTCTCAACCAATCAGGTATGATTGCATCCTGTGAATTATTTGAAGTCTTCTAACTTGGATAACAACATTTTCCTTATTGGCTATTTCTTGTTATTGCAGCTTCCTGCGGGTATTCCTAATATAGGAAGTCTTGTTGTGATCAACCAGAAGCTTAATAGTTTGGGATTGCACATTCATTTTCAGAGGTTTGGAGCTTATGCTATTGTAACTCTTTAGTTTAAGCAATTATCCACGGTAAAGCTACTCTTGGTAAAATAGTTGTGTTTATATCTCTTCTTTTGCACATGCTACTACAGAGCAGTTCCAATTGCAATGGATAGAGCTGTCAAAGAGATCGTTTCTGGTATTGTGCAGCGTAGTGTCTCTATAGCCACCCAAACAACAAAGGAACTGGTTTTGAAGGTTTTATCTATAAGTTGGCTTCATTGACATTCTCTTTTTAAAATGATCTTATATGCAATTCTACATTTCTACTGAGCTTATGCACCTTTTGGATTATTTTTAGTTTTGTTTAGAAATCTGAAGATGATGTTTTATGAAAAAATATCCTTGATAACGTTTTCATCATGAACATCAGCTTCATTTTAGTTATTTTTGACGAAGTCATTGTTGATGATATCACACTGGCCGAATATCTACTATACGTAGATACCACTTCTTATCCCTGATCCACAAGTTGTGACAACATCACTAGAAAAACATGCCATCATCATAAAGAACCAAAGAACCTTCCTCATCCTCGGAGCAAATTCTCCACAATTGACAATGACCATGAATCTAGCGATGATATGCATCTAGCCCTCTAACCCTCTCCACCACCCTACCATCCCCTACCATGAGTATGTCCAACATTTCTCACCCGTTGCCAGAGATAACCCTTGTAGATACAGAGCTTGACACTCTTTTTCAAGAAAAGTAGAATGAAACGATATCAGCGAACCAACAATGGCTATCCAAATCTTGACATCATGGCTATTCCATCAAGGAAAAAGATTATGAGTATTAATATTAGCACACAGATTATTGAAGAATTTGCTAGCATATGTGGTTGTAAAAAGGGAGAATGGTCGAATATGTACCTAGGATTACCTTTAAAAGGAAACTACAAATCTTTTTCTTCTCGAAGACTATTATTGAAAAAATTGAAAGAAGGCTGTCAACTCTTTCTCCACATTGGTGTCAATTATGCAAGAAAGGAAACGAATCACAAAACCACCTATTTATGCCATGCGTATTCGCTTAGAATTTCTTGACAACAATTCTCAATATATTCAGATGACATCTTGCATTTCCTAGGGAGGTAAAGGATCTAATGGACATGGGCTTAACGTACCACCCTTTCAAGAATGCAAAAACCCTACTATGGAAAAATTTTATCTTGGCTTTCCTTTGGAATAAGTGAAAAGAAAAAAATCAAATAATATTCTTGGAAAAGACACATAGTTATACAAAAGTTTTTGACAACGTTGTTTACCAACTTTTATCTTGGTGTAAACTCTCTAATTTTTTTACTTCTTATAGTTATATTTGGGAAGGTCTTTGGTAAACATTAGGGATGTTATATCCCTTTTGTAAATTTCAATCATCAATGACGTTGTCTCCCATACAAACAAAATAATAATAACAGTAGTACACTGGCTGTGTTGGCTAGATATTTGTTTAAACCGGAATGCTTTTGGAGTTCATATTTATTTTATCTTATTTTTTGTTTAGTTCGAAAACAGAGCACATTTGCTGTCTTCTAATCAAGATGCTTTACTGCTTAAAACTGTATTCGTATATATTCATCTGTGAACTTCCATTATCTAGTTCTTACAGTGTTGTCCTTGAAAAAAATAATTCAACTACTGCATTGTTCTCTATTTTGATTGAAAGTCTCATTTTTGCCTCATAAATGTTCTTTCTTGGCGGATTAGGTGGATACCTTACTTGCCCTACATTTTGGAACTTCTTGTTGTTGTGTGTGTTTTAATTTTTAATTATGAACTTTTCTGGGTTATTCCATATTTTTTCATTATGTTTATTCCTTCCATTTATTTGTATCATCTGCAACCGTAGGATTATGCCATGGAATCAGATGAGACCCGAATATTTAATGCAGCGCATTTGATGGTTGCTAGTCTGGCCGGATGTCTAGCACACGTGACTTGCAAGGTTTATCATTCTCTAGTGAACTTTTGAGATGATGCAGTTTTTATTATGTGGAGCTTATGATAAAACCTTATGGTTGATTGTTTCACATTGATTTTATTTTGTTTCTAATCAACTTAGTACAATTTAATTGTTTTAGGAACCTTTACGAGGTTCAATATCAAGTCAACTCAGAAGTTCTCTCCAGAATTTGGGCGTTGCCAGTGATCTGCTTGAGCAAGCTGTTCAGCTTGTTACAAATGATAACCTTGATCTTGGTTGTGCCATAATTGAACAGGCTGCTACAGATAAGGTCAGTGGATCCTGAAAGTGGGCATCAGTCTTGATATTATGGGAATAATTTACAGTTCCATATTACCAGGCAGGCATCTGTTGTTAGTATGTTGAAAGTATGTCGGATTTTGTTAACAATCCAAGCTTTACAAAGTTATTGAGAAAAGGCTTTACCTTTTTTTTCCCCATCATTTCTGTACCTGTTAAAACATCTCTATGTTCAGCAGTTGAATTTTTTAGACAACGGAAACCTTGAGTGCTTTGCGTTGGGAAAATAATGTCATGCGCATATTCATGTGTATTTTGTTTTTATAACAACCAACATTTTTTTTTTTTTTTTAATTTCATTCCATTTGATGTATTTTTGTACTCTACATAGTACTTAAGGTTTTTATATATTGCAGCCTTTATTTTTTTTTTCCCTTGTTATCTAATTGTATTCTGTCAGGTTATTATCTCTCTCTAGAACATTACTTCCAATCAATCTCTACCCTCAATTGATTGGAATTAGGGGACCTCCGGAAATTATCATTCAATTTCTTTTAAGAAATCTTTTCTCATTTTTTATATATATATACTTTTGTTCCTGGTATTATATGGCATGGTATTATATAACACATGCCTTACAATTTGTTTTTGGTTATGGTATTCTTTCAGGCTATACAAACCATTGACGGTGAAATAGCCCAACAGCTGTCTTTAAGAAGGAAGCATAGAGAGGGTGTTAATACAACCTTTTTTGACACTGGTATGTACGCACAAGGACCTCTTGGTGTTGTGCCTGAGGCTCTCCGTCCCAAGCCAGGACATCTGTCCATTTCACAACAGCGAGTTTATGAGGTGAGCAACCTTCTCAATGATTGCGAACTTTGATATTACGCAAAAAGAGGGGCATAAGAGTGTACGTTTTGTGTATATCCTTCAGGATTTTGTTAGGCTTCCCTTGCAAAATCAAAATAGCCAAGCTGCACAGTCTACTGGTTCTTCAATTACAGCTAGTGGTACTGGTTTGAGTAGTCAATTTGGTTTGTCATCGGGACAACTGAACTCAGGATACACATCTGGACTTGTTGCTGGACTTGAAGGAGGATCTCGGTCTCTGGATGATGCTGTAGACCCTACCTGTGTGCCCCAACTAAGGTTTTGTAGATCAGCTAATGTCTTATATTGTTTCCATTATAAGCACATTTAGTTGCCTTAATCATTTCCTCTGTGCAATATTTCAGTGCAACTCCAGGACATATTGCTGCTGATGGTGTTGGCGTGCGAGGTCCAGAAAATGATTTGGTCGTTGCTTCTTTCCCTTTGGCTGCATCAACCCCTGAGCTGCCTGCAGCTGATACCTCTGACAATATAAAGGTTGGACAACTACCTTTTATTTTTCAAGAATATGTAGTACCGGGGTGAAATTCTATCCAATTTGATATATGCCACTATGTTTTAGGAACCTGGATCTTCTTCCCAACCATTGTCCTCACCTATCACAACTGATCGTCTTGCAACTACTATGTCAGAACCCTCACTTACCACCAGAGATGCATTGGATAAATTCCAAGTTATTTCACAGAAGGTCACCGCTGCTCTAGCGTCTAATTATTGTTGCTTAATGTCCATTTCTAGTTAACTTAGTTCTATGAACAATGGTTGTCTATACCACATTGTATTTTCTTTTGAACACAGGAGAGACAAGAGCTTGCATTTATTTTCCCTACATGGATTTCATCTTTCCTTTTCATTTAGATTCCTTTGCTCAATAAGTAGCCCTATGGTATGAAGGGGATTGTTTAGGGGATGACAGATATATGAAAAAGGGCGATTTGAGTTGTCTAGCCTTTCAATTTTCTTCGCATTTTATTGAGTGTTATATCATATATGTAGCCTGTGACAGTATAAAGGGGCCTGGATGCAATAGAAACTGGGGGGCTGCTGCCTTTTGATACGGGAATAAAACAATCAGCCTTTAGTTTTTGTAATATAGCTGTTCTGCTTTCTTGGATGTATGTACTTAACTTATGAAGTTACCATATTGTCTTGTGTCAGTTGGAGGCTTTGGTTAGTAATGAGGCTCGGGAAACTGACTTCCAGGTATACTTTTGTGAATTCAACACGTGACTCTTCAGTTCTGGCATTCAAAAGTTAAAGTCTTACATGGAAATGATTTCTGTTTAGGGTGTCATTGCCGAGGTTCCTGAGATCATACTAAGATGTGTAAGTCGGGATGAAGCTGCTCTTGCTGTGGCGCAAAAGGTCGTTTAATTTTCTCTTGAACCGAGAGACTATTCCCATTTTTCGATTCTCTCCTCATTATTTTATCTACTGATTGTTTCAATTTTCTTTTTGCTGTTTTATCTCCCTCAATCTGGATCTACATTTAAAATACAGGTGTTTAAAGTTTTATACGACAATGCATCAAACACTTTTCATGTTGGTGCCCATCTTGCCATTCTGATTGCCATTCGCGATGTTTGCAAGCTAGTTGTAAAGGAACTTACTAGCTGGGTATGGTCTTGTTTAATGCTCCTAATTCATCGTTTTTTACCTATTACTTTCATTACTTCTCCTTCAATTTTTTTCTTGCCCTTATCTTTGTTTACACACTTAATTTCTTATATATCTCCACTAATGCACATAAGTAGAGGGTAAGTTCGGTGATAGTTGTCAGAATGAATACCTCAACTTAATGTTTTTTTTTTCTATTAATGTTTTTGAATTGTGCTACAAGCTATTTTATAATTATACTAATTCATGCATAATTAGACTAAATAATATTATGTAATTTTTATAGAAAAAGAATGAATGTCAGAACTAAATGAATGGATTTACTATCTTTTGACATGAACTATGTACCATAATAGATTCTTATATTATTTTATTTATTACCTTGTCTTATAATTCTCCCCTTCCGGGGATTCTCTCATTAATATATAGAACAACCTACACAGAACCACCTCGATATAAATGCCAAGTATATATAGATATATTTATTAATATATAGAACAACCTACACAGAACCACCTCGATATAAATGCCAAGTATATATAGATATATTTGCCGATATGTATGTGTTTGTATCAATATATATATATATATATATATATATATATATATATATTATTTGTTGAGTATCTATGGTGAACTCATGTATATATATATATATATATATATATATATATATATATTATTTGTTGAGTATCTATGGTGAACTCATGTATTTACCAAATTCTTCATGCATTAACGTTTTCCCTGTGGTATTAGGTGTAATTCGCATATATTCATTTTTCCAGTTTCTAACTCTTTGTTTCTAGCCTTTGATACATCATTTTCTCCCCAACTTTATTGTTTACAGGTGATTTACTCTGAGGAAGAGCGGAAGTACAACAAGGACATTACTCTTGGCCTTATTCGCAGTGAACTACTAAATCTTGCAGAATATAATGTTCATATGGCGAAACTAATTGATGGAGGCAGGAATAGTAAGTGAATGTATTAATTTTATTGATATTCTTTGTTATGCCAGTATGAACTGACCATTTATGCAATTTGCCAGAGGCCGCAACAGAGTTTGTCATATCCCTCCTCCAAACATTGGTTGTGGAAGAATCAAGTGTTATTTCCGAACTTCACAATCTTGTTGATGCATTAGCTAAGGTTCGTATTCTATCAGTTTTAGTGGAGGACGCTCTCCCGTGATACTTTGGTAAAGCTTCTTTCGCGTTTAATTTGTAGGTAGCTGCAAAACCTGGATCTTCAGAGCCTTTGCAACAACTGGTTGAGATAATCAAGAATCCATCTGCTAGTACAGCTGCTATATCTGGGGTTAACGTTGGGAAAGAGGATAAGGCTAGACTTGCCAGAGACAAAAAGGTTTCATTAGAACAATACTATAATTACTAATAACATTGAGGGATGTCTTTTTTCCCCCCTAATTCCTCAGTTTTGTGCCATTTTTCTCTAACAGGCTCCTGGACATTCCACAGCAAACAGAGAAGATTCTAGTTTTCTCGAGTCTGAAGATCCAGTTGGTTTTCGTGATCAGGTAACTAGATTATTGGAATCCTTGATATTTCGCTGCATGATGGCCTTTTATATCATACTTTAATGCTTTGAGAGATTTTCATATTGTTTTTGTACCTCATTCCACACCATGGCGGACAATGGTTTTCTTTTTAATTAACTTTAATTATCCATAAATTAGCATTTAGTTAATTAAAAATGGAGATTCTAATGGTTTTGAATGTACTTGTTTATTGTAGGTATCGATACTATTTGCTGAATGGTACCGAATATGTGAGCTACCCGGTGCTAATGAAGCCGCATTTAACCATTTCATATTACAATTACATCAGAATGGGCTTCTGAAAGGGGATGATATGACGGATCGGTTTTTCCGTCTGCTCACAGTATGCTTTTTTTTTTTTCTTTTTTTTCTTTTTTAAACTTATTTTAGAAGAATTATGTGGTGAGCATTGAATCATATTTTTCTTTTGCCAACTCACTGCATGCTTTTCAATTTAGGAAATTTCTGTGGCACATTGTTTATCATCTGAAGTAATTAATTCGGGTGCATTACAATCACCACAACAAATACAGAATCTATCGTTCCTTGCGATCGACATTTATGCCAAGCTTGTATTTTCGATCTTGAAGGTGAGCGCTGACTTTTTGAAATATTGCCCATCTGCTTCTTTGGCTCTTTTGCCTAATATATATTTGATCTTTTTTTTTTTTTTTTGTCATGCTCTTGAATAGAAGTTTGTGATATGCAGTTGTCGCATGAGCTAATTTGCATCTGACACTTTCCATTATTTTATTTTCAGGGATCTGGTAAAACTTCTCTTTTATCCAGGGTAATGAGCTGTAGAAGTACTTTTTGCCTTATTTATATTTTGCATGGTTGTTCATGACTTACTAATTCTTTCCTTTATGCTCCAGATTCTGGCGGTGACTGTAAGATTCATTCAGAAGGATGCCGAAGAGAAGAAAGCATCGTTTAATCCGAGACCATATTTTAGATTGTTTATTAACTGGCTTCCTGACCTTGGCTGTCTAGAACCTATTGTTGATGGTGCCAACTTTCAGGTATGAATCATTTTGCCCTAACATTTGCTTTTGTCTTTCCTTCATGAATAATCTAAAATCTAAAGTAACCACATTGCAGATATTGACAGCTTTTGCTAATGCATTTCATGCGTTGCACCCTCTTAAGATTCCAGCGTTCAGGTTAGTGCCAATTTGCTACCGTTTTTTCTATAAATCCTTGATATTATTTTGTGCATCAAAAGTTTTATTTAGAGCGAAAAAAATATATACATAGTAAAATAGGTCGTGGCAGCCTTGACAAAATTAATTTGCAATAATGATGGTGGGTTACGACTATATATATTCGTTCATGGATGGTTACACATGCGTTTTGTTCTTTTCTTTAATTTTTCTATTATTGCAATTACTTCATGCTGGCTATTCTTTCACCAGCTATGCTTGGCTTGAGCTGGTTAGTCATAGAAGTTTTATGCCAAAGATGCTTACTGGGAATAATCAGAAGGGTTGGCCTTACATCCAGCGTTTGCTGGTAGACGTGTTCCAATTCATGGAGCCATTTTTGCGGAACGCTGAACTTGGACCACCGGTTTGCCCCTACTATTTTTTTTCAGTCTTCAGTCTCGTTACTGCCGAGCGTTTTTTGTTTGTATGGTGGCACTAATTTTTTTTGTTTCATCTATTTTTTGCAGGTTTATTTTCTTTATAAAGGCACCCTTAGGGTGTTGCTTGTCTTACTTCATGATTTCCCTGAGTTCCTATGTGACTATCATTTTACTTTCTGCGATGTGATTCCTCCTAGCTGCATTCAGATGCGGAATATTATCCTTAGTGCGTTTCCTCGTAACATGAGACTACCAGATCCGTCCACCCCCAATTTGAAGGTCTAGTATTCGTATTTTCGCAACCATTTTGATCATGGAAATCAAATTATAAGGGACAAATTTTCATCACGTGCAGATTGACTTGCTTGCGGAAATCAATCAATCCCCACGTATTCTATCTGAGGTGGATGGAGCTCTTAAATCAAAGCAGATGAAGGCCGACGTGGATGAGTATCTCAAGGTATTTTGTTCTTGGCATTCACTATTTAATATACATGCGAGAAAGATTGATTGGTTTCACACGAGTTCAAACAAAACAGCAACATAGTGGTCGATTCTTGTTGTAGAACAATTGAGAAGTTCATGATTTCTTTATTGGATGAATGAAGTTTTCATCCTAGCTACGGCTGTTTAAAGGTGTGAAAGGGAATAACTTATTCCTTTAACAAGATCCAGCTCTAAATAAGTTCCTTTAACAAGGTTTTTCGTTTTCGTTGCTAATTGAATAAAGGAGAAAGATCTTGCAGGGCGTGAACTACCAATACTTATCTTTTTCTTCTGTAATTGAAATTTTACAACTATTTTGAAATAAAATTGTGATTCTCTTTTCCTCCGTCTGCAGACAAGGCAACAGGGATCATCGTTTCTGGCTGATCTGAAGCAGAAGTTGCTACTTCCACCCATTGAAGCTGCTTCTGCTGGGACGCGTTACAATGTGCCTTTGATCAACTCCCTCGTACTTTACGTTGGGATGCAGGTACTTGCTTCTCTACCTCTCAAACCCTTCTTTTACTTGTGATAATCTCTGGCTAATGCATACTTCAACGACTGTTGTTCAGGCCATCCAACAACTTCAGGCAAGAAGTCCTCATGCTCAGTCAACGGCTAATACTGTTACATTAGCAGTATTTCTGGTGGGTGCTGCTCTAGATATTTTCCAGACTCTGATCGTGGAGTTGGATACTGAAGGGCGCTACCTCTTCCTCAATGCCGTCGCAAACCAACTTCGTTATCCGAATACCCACACCCATTACTTTTCTTTTGTGCTCCTATACCTGTTCGCTGAATCGACTCAGGTGAGTTCTTCTGTTCGAGTTCATTTCGTACATTTTTGCCTGCTGGAACTGTGAACGGTTGGTAACACGGACAATAGTTAAAAAAATGATGTGTGGTTGGAACCTGTGCAGGAAATTATCCAGGAGCAGATAACAAGAGTGTTGTTGGAACGCCTCATTGTCAATAGACCTCATCCATGGGGACTGCTGATTACATTCATTGAACTTATTAAGGTAAATTCCAGCGTGGGTCAATATTTCATAGAACGATTTTCATCCTCCAAATTTTGAGTTTTATTCTAATATTTTTTTTCAGAATCCAAGATACAACTTTTGGAACCGGTCCTTTATAAGATGTGCACCAGATATCGAAAGACTATTTGAGTCGGTCTCTAGATCCTGCGGTGGCCCTAAATCTGCAGACGAGAACATGGTTCAAAATTGGGTACCTGATACCGCCCACTAGATCAGTAGTCTCTTCTGTATTTGGCTGTAATGTACAGAGTATTTATTCCCATCCCAACGATACGATTGTTTAGTCAATGCCAGTGTTTGTTTAATATGTAAATAATATATTTTTTTTCTCAATTTAAAATTGAATATGATTTCAATTTTCTTTTGTTGTCTGGCACCAGCCCTCAGATCTCATTACATTTCTTTTGCAATAGAATTTTTAATCTCCTGCCCTCGTCTCTGTTCATTACAAATTGTTTTTTATTCAAGTAAAATATAATTCTCTACCGTTTCAACAAAAAGAAAATTTTTACTAATTCGGGCCAAACTACTTGAACCCACTTAAATGGATCTTCGTGTTGACAAATGGTGCATCTTTCTTACAAGTCAACCAGAAATGAATGAAGGGTCAGTTTTAAGATTTAGAGTTCCATTGAAAGTAATAGCTAAAATTGAACGTCTCAAAGTAAAGCAAGTAATTTTGCAATTACTGTTTCCAAGATACTTCTACATAAAAAATGGGAAGAACTATACGAAGCCATTGCTTCAGGCATACCGTCCACAGAAAGTCTGATTCTATAACTGAATTAATTAACCAAGAAAGTGTCTTTTAAAGAGCCAGTGTTGCAAAACTTGCAATAGAATTAGTGTGATTAATAATACTGAAAGCTGCAGATTATTGGCCACATGTAATTCGCAACATAGTACCAAGAAACTAATTTAGGCCGGAACAGAACTCTAACTCTTTCATTCTAACTAGTAATAAACCCGAAATTAGTTTTACTGTAATGACAGACAATAGTTCAGATCAAAATTAAACTTCTCTCACATTGACCTTCAAATACAACTCCCACTTTATCAGGGCTAAAACTCACTAGGCTTCTCTTCGTACAAAGTACAGCTTACCCATAACATGGAGAATGGCAACAAACGCTATGAAACCAATGCTCATGACGAGAACAACGTTGGGGGATATCTTGAGCCCAGGAGCATCATCCGTGTAAAACTGCAGCATTGTTCCAGCTGCCCCTCCAGATGTGCCAGAACTTGTTGTCCTTCTCCTGCGCATGCTGGCAGTAGCTGCCGCACTTCCTCTCTGGGGAGCTGCTCCACCTAGTGCCATTCTGTATTGACAAAGAGAAAAAAAAAAAAAAAAAGGTTGGGACTTTCAAGTTGACTATTGACCAATTGACAGCGATGAAGAAAACTTTAGGCATTCTTTGATGAGCATTTCTGAATCAAATCACAAGATATCGATATCTCATCATCTAACAAAACAATCAATTAAACAACCTTCTTTCAAGAGGAGAAAATCCTAGCCAGAAGCATGCCATATACAACATAATTGATGGCATCACAATCCAAAACTCCCAAAATCCGTACAACTTTTTCACTGACATGAATATGGATTTTGTATCACACAAAACAATAAATTTTGAAATCTCCAAACGAGGCAACATGTAACGAAACAAATTAGTAGACTATACACCATGAGTTGAGATTAATATTGATCGACTTGCCACTAACTCGAATCAATAATCTCAACAAAAATTATAGATCGTGCCTACAATGAATAAAATTATGCAAGAAATCAGAATTTAACCAATTCTTGCCTTGAAGATAAAATCTATTAAATCCTGGACCTGCAACGCCTTAAACCAGAAATATGCAAATGTCCTTCCGCAGAAGTTCAGAATTTGGCATTGCAACCTATACCAACGCATAAGTTGTATTCACATGGGAACAAACAATTTCAAGTCCTAAATTTGCATAACATGCACCATAATTTCACAACATTATCTTATCGAAGAGCAAAAGTAAAAAAGAAAACATTATCTCCAGGCGCAAAGAACCGAATTTCCAGTAAACTTGGTCAGATGAATTTGTATGTTAGAAATTAATATCAAGCAAGATCTAGTGATCATCCAAAATCTGAGACGCAATAGGCAGGAAGGAAATCGCAGTTGGAACAGAAAAAGAAGAACAACAACATAAAGACAAGACCAAACCCTAATTTACCAAATTCTATAATAAAAAAGAAAACTGAATCGAGAGCGAGATCTGGTTGTAAAAGTTGACGAGGCAGATCTTAAAATTTCAAGAAGGTCAAAGTGTTGGTAGAAAAAGAGAGAAGGAGGGCGGAACTAGCCTGAGTCGAATTGAAGAGTTGGGATCGGCAGCCTCTGAAGGATCTGTTCAATCGAAGAGGCGGGACGGACGGAGAAGCTAATTTTTACAGATTTAGAGGCATATTTTATCATTGACGTATTCCAACCAATACCTTCCAACCACGTGTCATATTCCATATTCTTCTGGGATTAAGAACATAGCAGCCTAAATTCTTTCATGTAACCGAACCGAACCGACCAAGCCAACGGTTTGGATTGCTTCGGTTCGGTTCGGTCTGCAGTCATTGAAATAAATTATAAGGTGAAATATGTTATTTTGTGGGGAAGGGAAAACCGAAATTACGGGAAGAAAATTGGAAATTGTAGGATAAGGAGTGGCACGTGCGAAAATGGTGCACTATTTTGGGCCGCAAGATGGGCATCGGGAATCAGACAGTTAACCGCTTTTTTTTTTCCTTTTTAATTTACATATTTTCTACTAAATAAATTCATTAAAATGATTGTGTCAAATTTAAATTTGCAAACATGGTCACTAATACTATACCATAATTTTGTATCATTAGAATAAAAATTGAAAAAATATACAAAATTTGTATTGAATAATTAATTTTAAAAAAAAAAATGATGAGAGAAGTTGTAACCAACATCCATAAAGAAGTACGCCCATAATCACGATGACGTCTGGGGTGCATGGAATTGATAAATGGATAGTTAAAAAATTGAAGTGTGGCGGGTTGATTGTTCCCTAACAAAATAGGGATGCCATAACGGCAACGGCAGCTCCCTTCTTCAGTCTCCGGCTTCTATAAATACGCCAACCCTCTCATTCCACTATACTTCACCCCCACCTACCATCTTCTCCATAAGAAACTACAAACAATGCCCCGTTTCCACCATCATCATTATTATTATTATTATTGTTCTCTTCTCTTTCCCGCCCTTCTTTCTCTTTCACTTACCCCTTGCTTTTGCTTCCATCCCAAATCCTTCAATGTCTCCATGTACCAATCCTATGATCCCGATTGGTCCCCGGCCATCGCCACCTGGTACGGTACCCCCAATGGTGCCGGGAGCGATGGTACAACTATCCACACATTTCAACTTAATATTATTTATCACTAAATATCTTAATCAATTGAATTATACTCAAACTTATATTACGTTTTTTTTTAGGAGGTTCCTGTGGGTATGGAAAAGCGGTCGAGGAACCACCATTTTCGTCGTTAATCGCCGCAGGTGGCCCTTCTTTGTACAAATCCGGCAAAGCCTGTGGAGCTTGTTATCAGGTAAATGTGGCTTTAACTACATGTGATCCCAATGAAATGCCCCATTATTGTATACCAAATGAATGGATTATCTATCAGGTGAAGTGCTCCGGAGAAGGCGCATGTTCAGGGGGTCCGGTGACGGTGGTTATAACTGATAGTTGTCCGGGCGGCTCCTGTGCTTCCGACTCTGTCCACTTCGACCTCAGTGGCACTGCTTTTGGTGCTATGGCTGCTACTGGGCGGGCCGATGAACTCCGCAGTCTCGGCGTTTTGCACATTCAACATAAGAGGTTATTCATATTCAAACACAACACTTTTTACTCTAGAAAATGGAGAAGTTATTATAATTTCAATTATATCAAAATTTAACACTCTCTTCAGTTGGGTTAATCAATAAGTAAATGACATCACATATTATTATACGAGGGTCAATATTATAATATTTGATGTTTGATTGTAGTGTGGAATGCAATTACCCGGGAACCTCGATCAACTTCATCGTGGACTCAGGGTCGAACCCAAACTACTTCGCAGTTCTGATCGAATACGAAGATGGAGATGGAGAGCTAGGTTTAGTGGAGCTGAAACCGGCGCTCAACTCGTACTCATGGATTCCAATGAAGCAGTCATGGGGTGCAGTTTGGAAGCTGGACTCTGCCTCTGCGCTTCAACCTCCCTTCTCCCTCAGGCTCACTGCCCTCGACTCCGGCAAGACCGTGGTGGCTAACAACGTAATTCCGGTCGGGTGGCAGCCCGGACAGACTTATAGATCAGTGGTCAACTTCGATACATAATTGAGAAAACTCATGCAATAGTAGCCAATTATAGTAATAGTGAGCACTATGAGTATGAGATGTTGCGTAGGAGAAGGAAAATATGCAATGAGCCGGAAGTCAACTTATTTAGTAGAGTAAAGACTTTCTGGTTTTGTGACATTGCATGAGCTATATACAAATAAATATCCTTCCTATGATATACTTTAATTTCACTTACGTCTAAAACAAAAAATTTGAATCAACACATCCCCCAAAGATTTGAAAAGCTTTTACAACACACAAATGGCTCATCCTCTTACCTCTTTCTGCTAGTAATTTTCCGTTTCTCGTTTGCTTGCTTGATTTATTTATTATTATTATTGTTACCAAAATAAATAAATAAATAAAGGTCTTAACTATTGACTACATTCATTGCCCGATCCACATTCCAATACACACGTATATATATAAATATTTACAGAACCCATTGCCATTACAAAGAAGACCTTTCTAAATTACAAACCACCGTGAACAAATGACTGTTAAAAAAAAAAAAAAACTTTTGAAATGCCAAGAACGCACCCTTTCACACATGCACCCCAGAAGGCTTCAAAACGTTGGAGAATTCGAATGACTAACTAACTACATGGCGAGAAGGCTCAAGTTAGAATGAAAAGAGGCAAACCATATTAGGGTGTATGCAACTTTCATCGACATCCAGAGTCCGAGGCTGGTGGGTCACTAGGCCGTTGACGAACAAATTGTCCTTTAACTCGCGGTCGCTGCTCTGCCAATCTTTTCCGGCTTTGATATCTGACCTTTATAAATACAAGTGAAAGTAAAATCAATATCCTAGAATTTGAAAAGTGCCATATGCATCTTAAGTTGTGTAATTAAAATCTCAACGGGCTACGTCAAGAAGCATGGATTTTCATAAGTTGGAGTCTTAATATGTCTTTTAGATCCATTAGTTAGCATTGAAATCCAAATATGCACTAAATTTGCTCACCTTTTTCTCATAACAACGACCTTTCCGTTTCAACCTGAACTTCTCCAGAGCGGCTTCCCTATGCCTGGAACGAGAAGAATCCAGTCCTTTACTTCCTTCATAGGTAAAGACATTGGATGCATTCATATTTTCAGAGGCTGCAGTCTTGTCATCCGCTACACTTGACGAGGTGTTGCCTTCTGTTTGGTTGCAAATGCTCCCATTCGTGTTGCTATTAATATGATCCGTTTCATTGCATAAGCTACTACTGGCACTATGTGTAGCAGCACTAGGAGAGTCATGTTTCAACTCCTCTGCCACTCGTTCAATAGTATTATCTGTGTTTTCTACATATTGATGACCAACTTTTCTCGCGTTGGAAATATCACGACAGTTATGGAATGAGATATCAATAGAAATGGGAGACACCTCTTGTTCACATGTTGATCTGGTATTAGGTACTCGAGGCAAGACTGATGGCGTGTAGAACATGGAATGGAGAACACGACCAGCGGGAGCCTTATCAGATACCAAATCTGGAGCTGGAAAAAGATCAAGTTGTGGTTGCAGAATTTGATGTTCAGCCTGGTCAAACCCGCCAGCAACCTTTGGGGTCATATTCTTCCGACTGTTTCTTACTGGAACCCCATGGTCTTGGTGTGTACAACCCGAAATTCCTGACAGTAGACTTGGCAATGGTCTAGGAGATTGACCAGCACTTGTGTCTGATTCAGTAGGGGCATTGGGTTGTGTCACAGAAGGGGGTTTCATCATCTTACAGCTATTGTACCTGTTAAAATAGAATGCTCTGGTTGGTCAAGAATTCAAAAGAGCAAGATACAGTAAATTTTCATATATCAAGGGCATAACGAAAAACAATAACATCAATTCTCTCTGACTGTTACCAAACACCCTGAAAAGATCATGGATTCAGGATTAGAGAGAAACAAACAGAATAGCATTTGACCTTAAACATTACTAACATTTGACTGTTAACCCAAATCTCATTGGCATCAAAGACTGAAAAAAGAAAGTTATAATATGCTCCTCCAATGAAACTGTAAATGTGGGTTGTGCCCCTGCAGAGACCTTATTTTAGTTAAGCACGACATAGGCACGCAACCCAAATCTCCTACTCAATATCATTAAATTAGCATCCATAAGTCCATATTTATATCATGTCAATGCACTCTACGGTCGGTGTATAATAATTTCCTCAATAGGCAATGTCACGATTAGCAATTTCAACCATCACCTAGAATAAAATCAAACACTCACGATGAAAAGGCTGAAGCATTGGAGTGGTTCAGAACATGCCCATTTTCGCTCCACTGGCCTTCTGGTTTGGCCGGGGAAATTCTTCTTAAAGAAAGCTCCAACTGAGGAGAAAATTCTAATTTGATTGCGCTGGCATCGTTGGAGCTCGATAACCTGCACTTTTGATGTTCATCAAACTTGCAGATGCTATTGATGTGCTTCAGATTATTGTCAAAATTTCCTATCAAGTCGTTGATTCTACTGGAAGGTTCAGTGTCCTTATTGTTGTAACTAAACATCTCAGAAGCACCATCATCGACGACCTTGTAAAAGTCAGGCCTCAAAACTTTATTCTGGCTTCTTATTTCTGCAATAACACAATCTTCTTTCATTCTTGAAGGAACTG